GAGTTGACTCAAGAGAAAGTCTGGCAAACGCGCCTTCATACCCGTCAGACCACTGTCGCCAAGCAAGGACACCGCCACAAAGCAGAAAAGGGAAAAAAGCCTCCGCTAGCAGTTACCACATAGGAACTCATAGAGGGTTCCGCCAAACAATTCCTGATGGGGACCCCCCACCCCGGATGGAATCTTTCCCAACCCCTTCTCCTGGCCTTCAAGCAAGCAGCCCCAGATCCTGCCAGGACAAAGTTGAAGCAATATCTCTAATGCTACATTGATCAACACCTTTCAAGACCTGGGGGTCCTACCCATGCCTATCACAACATGGGGGGCACCTCGGCCAGTGCATCAAATACCCCGACATCAAAAAAGATCTCTTGGCATTGGAAAAAGTTCCAAAAAGGGCAACAACAATGATTAGATGTTTGGAACTGCTGCCATATGAAGAGAGAGTACGGAGACTGGGACTTTTCAGCTTAGAAAAGAGGAGAGTAAGGGGCATAGGATAGAGGACTATAAACTCATGGCTGATGTGGAGAAAGTGACTAAGGAAAAGTTATTTACTTGCTCCCATAACACAAGGACTAGGGGGTCACCAAATGAAATGAATAGGCAGCAGGTTGAAAACGAACAAAAGGCCGTATTTCTTCAGCAGCGCACAGTCAACCTGTGGAACTCCTCGCCAGAGGACGTTAGGAAGACCAGGGCTTTAACAGGGTTCAAAAAAGAGCTAGATAGATTCATGGAAGACAGGCCCATCAAGGTCTATTAGCCAGGATGGGCAAGGATGGTGTCCCGAGCCTGTTTGCTGGGGGCTGGGAATGGGCGACAGGGGAAGGATCACGTGAGGATTCCCTGTTCCGTTCACTCCCTCTGAGGCACCTGGCACTGGCCACTATTGGAAGACAGGACACTGGGCTACCTGGAGCTTTGGTTTGACCCAGTCTGGCTGTGCCTTTATTCTTATATTCTTATGCAACAGCGATGGTGGGTGCGGAGGTGAAAGGAAGCTAGTGCGCCCCAGGGCATCGCTCTGGCAAGATACCGGCTGGCTGTTGCACTTGACTGGAGAGGGACGGGCAGGACACTCTATCCTGGCTCCTGGGGTTTCCTACAGGCTGCCGCACTGAGCAGCAGGCAGCCAGGCAGGTGAAAGGGGCTGGCTGAGGCTCCCCTCCCTTCCGGGACTCCCCAGCCCTGAGCCCCCTCTCCTGGATGCTGTTTTGGGAGCATGGAGGCTGCAGCCGCACGTTCGAGGTCACTGCTGCTCTCCTTCCCCTTCCGCTAACTAGGGAGCGTGGGGAAAGTGCCCCAGCCTGCTGCATCCCCTCCCTGCTGGCTGCCCAAGGGCGGGGCAGAGGCCAATGCAGTACACTGGCATGCAGGAGGTGCTGGGAGGCAGGGAGAGGAGGATGGGGGGTACTTGGGGGAGAACAGGACGGGGCAGGAAGTGGGAGAAGTGGGAGAAGGGAAGAGTCACAGTGGGCTGGTGGGGGTGGGGGAAGGGATGGAGTGGGGGTGGGGCAGGGATCAAGTCCCCCCGCAACTTCCAAAGATGGCACCCAGGGTCAGCTGGCACAGGCCCGCCATGGGG